ATGGCCTCTTGTTTCTTGTATCTATGTTAGTTGTAGAAGAGATATAATATTCCCACCTTACGTACTGAGGATATGTTCCAAGACCCTTAGTGGATGCCTGAAACCATGGAGAGTACCAAACCCTATGTTTACTGTTTTTTCCCATATATGCATACCTGTGATAAAGTTCAATTTATGAATTAAGCCCAATAGATTATCAACAATAAAACACAAAAATTCTAACAATATACTATAGCAAAAGTTATTAAAATTTATGAATTGTTTATTTCTGAAAATTTCCATATAATATTTCAGATTACAGTTCATCAAGGATAACTGAAATTGTGGAAAGTAAAAGCATCGATGAAGGGCGAGCCTGATGAACTTTAATTCCTTAGCTTTCTTTTGTTGTGTATGTCCACATTTTGTTCTATGCAGCACTGGGGTATTAGTTTTTTAAAATTTGTTTTGCTTTTGATGAAAAAATGAAACAAAATTTCAAATAGGAGAATAATAGTAATTACACTGTTTATCATTATCTTGAAAGTAGTTACTTCAGAGTACAAGTCATAAACCCAAAAGATTCTTTCAAAAAAGAGACATAATAAACCTTTATTTTCAATGAACTACACTCAACTAGTTGTAGTTAATTTTGTAACTCATGTTCTGTGATTGTTTTCATCCAGTTGTTTTTCCTTCCCTTATAAGATTGTAAATTGGACCACATATTTTCTTTTTATTATATTCTTTTCTTGACTCTCAAAGGAATATTTTCTACTTTTATCGTCTTCACAACTCTTTAACCTCTTAATCCTTTTTAATTATTTACATCTTCAAATGACCTGTTGGTAAGGACTTTTAGCCACATTAATTTGATTACTCTGCTACAGTTGAGGGGGTAGTATTGCTATTTTAAAAATTATGCTGGTTTTACTTTCCTCTTCTTTTATAGTTTCTTGTCTTCCCATACTCCTTAACTTCTGAGTGTGTCCCTCCTTTTCTGCTCTTTTGCTAGTCCTTTAGAGACTTCATCTAAACATACTACTCTTGTAGTTTTTGATAATATGTCTGAGTGAAACTTCCAACATATATAGATCTGATCCATTTAGTTCCAGTGCTATACTCAGCAGCCCACAAGACATTTCTACTTTGATGTCCTTTCTCATCAGATCTTCGGTATGGATAAGATGTAAGTAGGATCTCTGCATTAGCTTCTTTTTTGAGTCTATGCTACCACTTTGTAGCCCTTTTTTAGAGACTACTTCCTCCTCCCATTTTCCCCACAGATCTATTAGAACTGTTTCTTCATTTTTCTTTCATTATTATCTAATGTCTTACTATGTTCAGTCAATAAGGATTGTCCATTTCATCCTTATTATAATTTTTAGATTGATCTTAGAGAAAAGTTTCATGCCATTTCTTCCATATTCTTCATACTTAGAAATATATAAATGTTTTGTTTCTAGAAGTAATTATGAGGCTCCAGTGTTAGGTATTTAAGCCTTTTCATCAACTGCTTTAATCTCATCTTCCCTGCATGACCTCCAGCTTCTTTCCACCCAGGCTCATTCTTTTTGACACACACTCATTTCTGCCTTTGCTCATGTAGTTTCTTGTGCCAGATATAGCTTTCTTATCCTGATGGCTAACTTGATTTACCTCTTCCAGGAAGCCTTACCTTCATTAATTCAATCCTTTTAGACTTTTTTTCTTCCTCTAGGTTTACTTATGAATGCACATTTACTTTATGCTATGCCCTATCTCTTCTGAAAAATAGTTCTGCCTCATTTTTTATTTCTAGTTTCATCATAAAAATCTTATCTTCTACACTGCTTATGAAAGATATAGATTTTGCTTCTGGCTACAGTAGAACAGATTGTAGCAGACAAAAACTCTTGCTGAGAATAGCTAGAAAAGCTTGATTGAAAAAAAAAAAAAAACCAACACAGAGAGTTGCCAAGGCAGCCAAGATTTCAGACATTTGTGGATTGTTGGCCAAGGGAGAGAGCAGCTATCAAGAGGCAGAAAAGTCAGAAGAGCTTTCTTTATGAGGCCATGTTACAAAAATTGTAGTTGAGGGCTAGCATGGCAACCAGAATCTGAGAGGCCAAGATCCTGAAGAGAAGGGAAGTGCATCCTCTACCTGCTTCTTTCCATGACACATTTACTGATTTATTGTACTGTGTAGGGGAAAAGGCTTGGAAGCCTGGCAGAAAGCTACTGAAAAACAAGGCAGACTTTTAGCAGTTCTTCAGTGTTAAGGAGAGAAATGTTCAGGATTCAGGAGGAAGGTAGGCCTCATAAACACACTGGACTCTCAACCCCTGGAGGGCTAAAGGAAAGGGTAGAAAAGGCTTTACGAGCTTTGCAAAGATTGCAGCCAGCCTTGAATCAGCTCATGTCTTGTTTGTTTTGTGAGATGGTCATTCTAATTGCTTTCAGAGAACATGTTGAAGTCTCTGCAGGAAATAACATCATCTAAATCCTCTACAGTTTGTCCTTGGCAATGAATGGCATTTTAACCAAAATTACTAGGTAAACCAAAAAACCAAATCAGGAATTAAAACAGGCAATATGGAAATAGATCCATGATGTCCAAGTCATCTAATAATTTATATATTTGTATTTGAAGAACATTTAGGTTGTTTCTGGTCTTCAGTATTGTGAGTGATCTGCCATGAATTTTTATACATATCTTTGCACACACACACACACACACACACACACACCTTTAAGAGAAAGGATATCCTTGCCACCTCTTGTCTTTATCAGACTTTTAAATTTTTTCCAGTTTGATACATAAAAGTTATTTTTATTTTTCTGTAGTATAAACAGGCTGTTTGAATCATTTGTCCATTGTTACATGAGGTTGTTAGGCACCTGTCTATCTCTTGTCTGTCATTTATCTATCTGGCATAGAGGGAAAGAACACAGACCCTGGATTCAGATTGCCTGGGTTTCAGTCATAGCTGTTTTCCTTACAGAAATATGCCCTTGGCAAGTTAAAACCCTCAGTACCTCATTTTTCTTATTTGTAAAATGGCGATATAAAAGCACCTCTACATATAGGCATTATGAAAACTGAATGAGTTAGAAATGGGCCTGGTGTCCCATAAGTACTGCTATTGTAACAGTGCTGCTAGTGGTGATAGAGATGGAAATTAGCCATTTATTATGTATTTAGCAAATTGTTTTTCCAAGTTTATCATTTGGCCTTGTTTTATTGTCTTATGTTCTGTAGAAATTTAAACTGAGGTTTCAGGATGAGTTGTTTCAGGATGAGTGGAAGGTGAGAGCATTTTAGGCAGAGGCATGGAGGCAGAAAGATATGTTTGGCTCAGAAACCATAAACTGTTGATGGAATATGAAATAGGGAGGGAATAAAGTGATAGAAGCTGAAGAGATAGACAGAGATCCTGTCATATGGATAACTTTTTTTGTTTTGTTTTGTTTTTGTATTTTTGAGTCAGGGTCTCACTATGTAGTTGAGACTGACCTGGAACTCACTATGTAGTCCAGGCTGGTCTCAAACTCACAGGGATCATCCTGCCTCAGCCTCCCGAGTACTGGTATTACAGGTGTGCGCCACCACACTCGGCATTAGATAACTTCTTAAATTATATTGAAATAAGTGATACAGAACCAATTCTTGTGATTGAAGGAAATTAACCCGCTATGTTTAAGGAAAATATATTACCCCCATCTATTTTATAGCAGATTTTGATATGAATCATTTTTGCATAATGCACAGTAATTTACCAAATGCTTAACAGCTTATAAACTTCTTTTTTTCATATGTGTGTGTGTTGCTACATATTGAACCCAAGGGCAGTCTATCACTGAGCCACTCCCTCAGTCCCTTTGTTTTTTTAGTTTTGAGACAGGGCCTTGCTAAGTTGTCCAGGATGGTCTCAAACTTCGGCCATCCACTTGCCTCAGCCTCTGATTTACTAGCATTACAGGCGTGTGCCACCATGCCTGGCTGCTTACAAGCTTTTGAATTCATTAATTTTATCTTGTTTTTAGTTCTGAAATATGGTTGTTACATATGAGGAAATTCAAGTTCAAAAAAAGTGGGAATATTCAAATTAGGATCTAAGACTCAGTAAGTTTTAAGATGTTATAAGTCCAAAGTTCTTTTTCATTCTGCTATACTTACAACAAATTAACCCCAGGGGTCAAAAATTAAGCATAGCCAAGTACCAAAAGATCATCTCTTTTGGATTTGAGAGTTATTAAATAGAACCTTTCTGATACAATTGAGGTTTTTTTCTCATATTACATTGAATGTGAATGCTTTGCAATGACACGTGATTTGATAAGGTTAGCAAAATGTTTGTCTGGTAGTTTGTTTTGTTTGCCTATATTAATAACCAGTCACCTCCACCCTATGGAAAAATCTTTTTTTTCAGGAAGGACCTATAAGGAAGTATAGCTGTCCCTACATTCACATTGGTCTGAGTACATACTCAGCCTACGTCTTTGACCATGGGTGTGTATTGTTCTTTAGGCATCAGATCTTTAGAAAGTTTCTCTTCCTGTTTCGCATAGCTGTTGTTTGTCATTAAGAAAGTATTTCCACCATTGGATTCGTTTGTGAATACTAAGATAATCAGCATTTCAGGGACTTTTTTTTTTGTTGTTGTTTTTGAGACAAGTGTCTCACTGTGTAGTTCAGGCTGGTCTTGAACTCACTCTGTAGCCCAGGCTGGCCTCAAATTCACAGTGATCCTCCTGGTTCACCCTCCTGAATGCTAAAATTATAGGCTTGTGTCACCATGCCCTGCTTTGGTTTAAAGTAGTTTCCAGCATTTTTTTTTTTCCTGTGAGATAAAAGAAATGTGAGTGGTTGTTTTGTGAAACATTTGAAAATCCCTGTAATAGCTCTTGGAAGGATTGGTGGATTTGTGACTAACTCCTCTAGAATATTGTGTTGCTTTTTCTTGGTTTTGACTTGACATCTTGTTGCTGTGCTTTTGTAGTAATATTGCTGGTATTTTAACCACAGTTTCCTCTTTTAGGGCCAGAGGAAGCTGACACATGACCCTACCTACAGTGGTAAGGGAAGTAAAAACTAAGTTAAGTCCCACATCAGCAGATATAGACTGTTTTATTGTAAATTATTGTTGTTTATTAAAATCAGGGAACCTGAAAGATGAATATTAATTATTTTAGTATAATTAATAATGTTAAATGCTGCACATATATTCTACATTCAAAAGTAAGAGACATTATGAAAGTCTGTGAATTAAAAGGGAAGAACTTCATTTTTCTGTCCTTTTCATACAAATCTAGGATTATAACACCAAATTTCATAAGGATTCAAATTATTTTATATATTATAACTCTTATGTAAGTTTAAAATCCTAGTAGCATTTTTACTTACAATATTAAACTTTAATGGAGTTTTATAGAACTTAGAGAAGTATACTGAGTAGGAAATAAAAATGACATAAAAATATTGTTACTGGCTGATCATGGTACGGTCCTGTAATCCCAGCACTCAGGAAGCTGAGGCAGGGTGATCTTAAGTTAGAGGCCAGCCAAAGATATGTAATGAGTTCAGCATAGACTGTGAAATGAGAACCCTGTCTCACCCCCCCAATTTTTAAAGTATTGTTACTGAATCGTTAATTTTATTTATTTATTTATTTTTGGTTTTTTGATAACAGGTCTCACTTTGTAGTTCAGGATGGCCCTGAACTCACTATGTAGCCTAGGCTGAGCTCGGACTCATGGCAATTCTCTTGCCTCAGCCTCTTGAGTGCTAGGACTACAGGCGTGCACCACACCCAGCTGAATCATTAACTTTTTAGAAATTAATATATTGCTTTCATTTTTCAGATAGAAAGGGAGATCTAAAGAGATTTTCAGACCATGATATGTATTTGCATGTATGTGCTTATGTGTGTAGGTTCCTGTAGACCACCCACAGTTTCAGTGATTTGCTAGAAGCACTTTCAGGACTCAGCAAATAATTATACTCACAGCTGTGATTTATTGCAGTCAAAGATACTGAGCAAAATCAGCAGGAGAAAAGGTGTTTGGGACAAAGTTTGAAACCAGGTAATGGCTTCCAGTCTTCTCAATGGAGGTACCTAGGGTATATTTAATTCTCACAGCAAGGAGATGTGCGAAACATTACCAGCCAGAGAACATGGTTAGAGACTTAGTGCTTAGAGTTTTTACTAGAAGCTGATCACATTGGCACTCTCTGCCCCGCATGTACACAAATTTCAGATTCTTTGCAGGAGAGCAAGTATTCATCATATTGGTTTGACACACATTTTAGGTATAGTAAACCATTCTTAACTGTTGGGGAAGGTGAAAACCATCTTGAAATTCAAGTTCCTAGCCCTCAGCCAAGGGCCAACTTTGTAAACATATGATAGGTAGGCAGGCCTGCTGTGTCAACTTTTTTGCAGAGGTGGGTGTATGTTTGTGTGTGACATTTAGCGTATAGTATGCTCTGATTAAATGGTAGCTGTTTTTATTTACTTTAATCTTCACTGATCACCACCACTACTACTACTATTTGTTATGGTCTTCCACTTTCATATGAGGTAGGTTGGCTAGTAATTTGATCTCCATTTGATAGATGAAGAAACCAAGGAAAAGAGAAGCTCTGACATTTCTTAATACTTTCATGTAATTGACAGAACAAGTATTTCAACCCAGTAGTTCACTCTTTGCAGGCTCACAGGGAAGAGAAAAAAAATGGTATATATTTTTTTCCTCCTTGGCATTTCTAGAGGGCATTTCTGAAATAAGAAATAAGATTAAATATTTAAGCTAATGTCACATTGGACCAATTTACAACTTTTTATGCTTAACTATTTTAGTATTCATGAAGAACATTAAGCTATATATATAAAACTCTTGAACTTTTGGGTATATTGTCCTTTAATGTAGTACAACCTTGTTAGACCAAAAAATGTCTTATGACATTTTGACTGTTCAGCATTTTGTATACTTAAAAACTTCATTAATCCTAACCTAAGATTAAGCTCGTTTATATCAGTACTACTTTTTTTTTTCCCAGTTCCTGGGATTAAACTCAGGACTTTGTGCTTGCCAGGCAGGCATGGCACCACTGAGCTACATCCCCAACTCTACTTTTGACTAATATAAATTAATAACTCACTCTTATCCCTTTCTTTTAATTTCATATAAATCAGAGGCATAGTAAGATTTCAGTCAGTATTCTGAGTTCCTGCTTAGCCTTATAAACTGTGAGTTTTTTTTTTTAATATTTATTTTGCAGCACTGGGGATTGAACCCATAGTCTCTACCGTTGAGTACATCTGCAGCCCTTTTAATTTTTATTTTTGAGACAAGGTCTTGCTTATTGGCTCAGTCTAGCTTCCTAACTTGTGCTCCTCTTGCCTCAGACTCCTGAGTCTCTGGGATTACAGACATGTACTACTATGCTCAGTGACAGTTTTACACTTAATAAATTGTATTGTATGTTATTCTACTGGCTGAAATATTTCTGAAGTGTTTTCACTCTTGTTGTACTCATCTGATTCATATAGCCTGTTTTGATGTTATTATTAATCAGAGTTACATTTACTATATTTCTGATTTTTCAGAAGAGGAAGTTGAGATTGATTTTACCCACAGCATGAAAGCTTTTTTATTGGTGTTTAGGTTTTAAACTTTATATTATTTATACTATAAAAAGATAAAGATGTGAAGCTCTTGCGATACTTTGTACTATTTAGTAAGAACCATTATAGAAAGAGATAATTCTCCAGTAGTAAAATTATCATTTCTACTAGCCTATCACTAATATATTTTTGTTCTCTTGTGTTAGACAGTAGACTTAGATATAAGACTGAATAAGATTTTGCTCCTTATGAATGTGATTATGCCCCTATAAAAATAAAGATTTCAAATTTTTTAGAGTAGATATGAGTTGACTCTTGTTTGTACCAGAAGAAATTATGACAGAATGTATTATATCTTAACTAGAGATCTTTACAGATATGACACATAATGCAGAAGCTGAGAAGAAATGTTGAGTAATATAACTACAAGAAAACCCCCAAAGTCAGCACAAATATAAATTAGGAAGAATATTACTATTCATGTGATTTGACATAAGACTAATTTTCCTTATTATAGAAAGAGCTTTAACAAGAAGATAAAATTAATAGCAATCAAGGAAATTCATATACATTTTATATCAAAAGAAATAAAATACTTTTAACTATATGTTTTTATATTGAGTTTCGCTCAATAAGTGTATAAATCATGTGATTTCACTTTTTAAATTGACAAAGTTAAAATTTTCAACATTCTTGAGTTGGAAAAGGTGTGGAATGGCATTCTCATACATTACTAGCAGGACTATAAATTAATACAGGCTTTTAGGAAGGATGATTTGGTATTATCTGTTAAGAAGCACATTTTTCTTTGACCGAGTGATTCTCATTCCAGAAGTTTATCCTATGGGTAAGGATGTACTTGTAGATATGCAAAATTGTGTGTGTGTGTGTGTGTGAATGACTCATCACAGCAACCATTATTGGCTCAACTGCAGTTGGTTGTTTTAATACTCTCAAGATTTAAACATACCTCTCATACCTGTATTTTCTTTTTTTTTTTCAGCTTTAATTGAGTTTATTGGTACATTTTAGGGATACAGTACAGTTACATTCATTGTTGGGATCTTGTACCTCTACATGACAAGTCTTGATTCTCATTTTTTCCCCTTACCTCTGCCCTCCCTTCACCCCCTCCTC